GTTGATTGTGATAAATTAAACTACTGAAAGAATTTTAATATAAGCAACTAAAATAAGCAAACGAATGAAATAAGTTGGCTAGCTTAGGTTGAAATTAGTGAGAAAATATTTTAGAGTTATGGATCTGCTACCAATTCTGCTGAATTATTCACTTAATGTCACGATCCAATTGCTTCCTCCGTGAACTGTCGTGATGGCACCTAGTCTCAATGACTAGGTAAGCCTAATACATTGCGGAAATGAAACAAAAACATGAACATTAACTATTAACAGTAACAACTATCTAATAAGCAACTGAATGCTACTCGGCATATACAATTATCACTACGGAAATGTATCGAACAATACCCAAAATTCGGAGACTCGCTAGTCACAAGCTACTAAGAAGTTTTTAACTGTTCTATACATCATCTCTACAGGAAGAAAGAGAAATGAACATAGGGGGATAGAGTGGGACTCCGAGAATCTGCGGGCGCGGGCAGGTGTACCTTGAAGTCTCCAACAAGCAACAACAACTGCAACTAGTGATGAGGTTGGTACGATGAACCTGGATCTGCACACGGAAAACATGTGCAGGAAAAGGTATGAGTACACCACAACAGTACCCAGTAAGTGCCATGCCTAACTTCGGTCGAGTAGTGACGAGATCAGGTCAGGACCCTACTGATATAAATATAATGAAATAAGACAAAATGAAGTATCACAGTAAAAGTTAATACGGAAATCTAACTGGAATAGAACCAACGAAAAACAACAGCTCAGAACACGGTGATAACAACAGGGGATCTCCCGGGATACCGTCCCGTAGTGCCAAACGTAAATGTGCAGGGGGATCTCCCGAAATACCGTTCCGTAGTCCCAAAGTAAATATGCAGTGTTGGGGGATCTCCCGAAATACCGTTCAGTAGTCCCAAAGTAAATATGCAGCTCAACCAATATAAACAACAATCACAGCAAGAGAACCCACAGTTTAGACTAAGTTCAAAACAAAGAAAGCAGGTAATTTCACTAAACATGCTGCACAGAGTTCAAATAGGCAGTTAAAATACGTAGGCATGCTTTTCTAATCTAAACAGGATAGTACATATGCTAGTGTAGTTCAAACAAGGAGAAAACATGTTATGACTTAGTGAAAAACGGAGTTTTTACAACAAATAGCCCGTGTACGTACTCGTCACCTCACGTACACGGCACTCATATATCAAACAGTACCAAATCCTAAGGGGAGTTCCCCCACACAAGGTTAGGCAAGCCACTTACCTCGAACCAAGCTCAATCAATCCGAAACAATGCTCTTCCCACGAATATCCGGCTTCGGATGGCCCAAATCTAACCAAATCAATTACATAACGTAAATATAGCTATAAGCAACTAATCTAACTAATAAAATCGAAGCTAAGGTAAGAAATTGGAAAAATTACCGAAAAAGCCTCCCCGGGCCCACGTCTCGGAATCGGATAAAAGTAACAAATTATGAACATCCATTCACTCACGAGTTCACTCGTACCGGAATTATCTGAATCCGATGACAAAATCCGAATCAAAACTCGAAATCTTAGTTGAAGCACTTCTTTCCATTTTTCACCCCAAATCCGAAATTAAATGATAAAATTAAGGATAGATTAGTGGGATATAACCAAAATCAAGTTAAGAATCATTACCCAATTGATATCTCTTAACATCCCTCAAAAACTCGTCCAAATCCTAGCTCCCAAACTCAAGTTTTGATAAAAATGGCCAAACCCTCATTTTTGAAATGTTTAATACTGCCCAGGTGTTTGTACATCCTGATCGCGTAAATGAGATGCTATCGCGAAGAGGAAAATCTGATGGCTCATGAACTGGGCTACGCGAACGCGTGATGAAGCACACGAATGCGGAAGAGGGAAAGGCAGGCTTAAGCGTTCGCTAATAGGACAATGCGAACGCGTAGAGGAAATGGTCACAGAACTCCCGCTCCTAGTTCTACTACGCGAACGCAAATAGGGGGATGCGAACGCGAAGGAGGAGGGGGCAGACTTCCGCGATCGCAAGCGGGAACATGCGAACGCGAAGAACAATTAAATCATCCTCCAAAATTGCGCTACGCGAACGCGTAGGAAAAGGCGCGAACGCGATTAAGGAAACCAGACACCAGCAGTTCTGCAATTTCAACAATTCCGGAAATGATCCGTTAACTACCTGAAACTCACCCGAGGCCCTCGGGACCTCAACCAAACATACCAACAAATCCTAAAACACCATACGAACTTAGTCAAGCCCTCAAATCACATCAAACAACGCTAAAAACACAATTCACCCTCCAATCCAAACTTAATGAACTAGAAACTTCCAAATTCGAGAACCGATGCCGAAACCAACCAAAACACGTCCAAATAACCCCAAATTTTGCACACAAGTCATATTCAACACTACGGACCTACTCCAACTTCCGGAATCAGAATCCGACCCGGTATCAAAAATTCTACTACCGGTCCAAAACTCTAAAAATTCGACTTTCGCCATTTCAAGCCTAAATGAGCTGCGAACCTCCAAAACACAATCCGGACACGCCCCTAAGCCCAAAATCACCTAATGGAGCTAACAGAATTGATAGAATTCCATTCCGGAGTCGTCTTCATACAGTTCCGACTACAGTCCAAATCTTAAGACTTAAGCTCCCATTTAGGGACTAAGCGTCCCAAAATACTCCGAAACTCAAACTGAATCTTCCCGGCAAGTAACAATAGCAGAAATAGATACAGGGGAAGTAGTTAATAGGGATCAGGGCTCTAACTCTGAAAACGACCTGCCGGGTCGTTACACTTAAATTGACTAATTAATTTATTTGTTTATTAATTGATAAGGTTAATATTTTTCAAAAAATATTTTGAGTCCTCACTCGCCTATTCAAGTTAACCTAATGGGTATATTTATATGGAATTAGAACTAGCGGAATACAGTAATAATTTCTATAAAATAATTAAGTGTCATGACCCAAAATCTCACCAAAGGTCGTGATGGCGCCTAACCCACTTGTTAGGCAAGCCAACACTCAATAAACTATAATGAAAGCAGATTATTAAGTCTTTGATAGTGTCATGATAATTGTAGAAAATCAGAAATAGACACAAAATTAATATCATAAATATGAGTATTTAAGACAGGATCTAAATACGACAATAACCGTCTAACAATGCCAAAAACCTAGTATGGCATTGTCACGAGCATCTAACAATAATGTAAAGTATCAACTGAACAACAATGTTTGTCTGGAGTGGAAATAGATAGACAAAAATAGATAAGTAAGGAGGGGGGCTCCATGAGCTGCGGATCAGATCAAGTAAAATAACTCACCACAAAGTCTCCATTAGATCTCCTACTCCGCTGGATGAATACCACTGTTACCAGCCTTAGAACCCGTACCAAAATATAGTATTAGTACAAAATTACAGTACTCAATAAGTATCAAGTCTAGCCTCGACGAAGTAGTGGCGAGAGGTCGACATCGACACTTTACTAACAATCCAATAATTAGGTGAAGACATTAGTAAGGCACGAAATAAGGCATGATATCATTAAATAGGTGCGAAAGCCAAAAATACCTTATGTGTAGAATTTAGGCATGCTTTCCAGATAAGGAGATCAAATCAAATATCAAATACTTCCATTCTTGCATAAAGGCATGATATACATCAACCAAAAGCTATATAAAAACTACTGAATGAATCTAAGGAATACTTTTTGTGATAAAAAGCTCAACATCGCTCTTCTCTCTCTCTATCTCTCTAACAATCAAAGCCCTAATTCAACTCCACTAGCGCCTGACCTCTCTCACCATTGCCGCCCGTTGAGTCGCCGACATACATAGGTAAGTTCTCTTGCTCTTGCTCTTTCTTTCCTTCTTGTTTTCTCTTCTTCCCTTTTCTTTCTCTCGGTACTCGTCTCCTCTCCCCCCCAAATTCATGTAGTGATTGGTGTCGGTGGGCCTCCGACCAGGCGTCATCTACCCCTTCTTCTACTCTTCCTTCTCTCACGCTTCTCTGGTCGGATTCCGGCAAGTCCGTGTACCGCTACCCTCCAGTGCCCCCAATCTTTACTTTTTCTTTTAGTTTCTCTTTCATTCTCCGTCTCTTTCTCTCACTCTTTTCTTCTTCTTTTTTCGCTTTTATCTCTTTCGCAGGCGTGGGTAAACAGCAGCCCCGCAGTCTCTCCGGTGTGTAATACTAGTGGTTTTATTGGCTCCGGCAACACAAGTCTTTACCTCCATTCAACAGCTTCTTGGCATCCTCGGCACTAATTCAGGTTCTATTGTTCTTGCCTTTAGTAATTAATATTTGTTTTTGTTAGTTTCGCCTGCCAGCCCATTATTTTGCCTTAGACTTTTGTTTCCAATTTGACTTGCCATTCTTTAGTTGTTTTTGTTTACATTTGGACTTGCTTTGATTTTCTTTCTATAACAAGGGTCTTATATAGTAGACTTTACTTCTTGCGTAGTTTATCTTGCCGCAAGTTGTAGTGGTGCTAGCGTAGTATCCATTAGATTAGAGTGGACAGTGTGAGTGATGGAAAGGTGAGGTCATATCCTCGGGTAGGGCAGGGGCGGGGGGCTAGGGTAGTAAGGGGGGTAAGGACTCCGCTAGGGTACATGTTCGGTGCTGAAATATCGGAACATTGACAGGGAATTCTATAGAACTAGGGAAGATTCTTCGGAAAAGGAAGATCAATATAACGTGTGTTCAGCAGACTAGATGGATATGTACTAGGGCACGTGAGGTTAACGGGTTTAAACTGTGGTACTTAGGGGGTGCAGGGGGGAGGGGGTAGTAGGGGCAAGAACGAGGTAGGCGTCTTAGTAGACAGGGATCTCAGGGAGCTGGTGGTTGATGTTAAGAGGGTGAACGATAGACTGATGGCTATTAAGCTAGTGGTTGGTGGGATCACTTTAAGCGTGATTAATGCATACGCACCGCAAACGGGCTTGGGAGAGGAGGTCAAGAGATAATTCTGGGAGGATTTAGATGAGGCGCGTGCGTGGTATTCCATACATCGATAGAATTTTCATAGGAGGTGATTTTAATGGCCATATTGGGGAGTCGGCTAGGGGTTATGATGATGTGCATGACGGGTTCTATTTTGGGGTTAGGATCGAAGGTGGTACTTCGTTGCTGGATTTCGCTAGTGCCTTTGATTTGGTGCTGTCTAACTCGTGTTTTCAGAAGAGGGAGGACCACTTGGTCACGTTCCGGAGTGCGGAGGCCAAGACTCAGATTGATTACTTACTCTACAGGAAGAGGGATAGAGGCTTATGCACTGATTGCAAGGTTATTCCGAGTGAGTGGCTTTGGACCCAACATAGTCTCTTGGTTATGGACTTGGAGATTAAGAGGGAGAAGAAGAAAAGAGGGTGTTTGGTCAACCTAAGATCAAGTGGGGAGCCTTGACTGAGGACAAAGCTCAGGCATTAGGGGAGAAGTTAGATATGGGGGCTTGGAGAAGTGGTGGAGACACGAGTAATATATGGACCTTGACATCGAATTGTATTAGGGAAGCTGGTAGAGCGGTGTTAGGGGACAAAAAGGGTTTCTCCTGGGGCCACAAAGGTGACTGGTAGTGGAATGAAGAGGTTCAAGGTAATGTGATAAGAAAGCTAAGAAAGAGGTGAATTAGCGGTCACGACGGCTAAGACCACAACATTTGAACGCCTGTATGTGGAACTTGGGGGTAGAGGCGGTGACAAGATACTGTTCAGGTTAGCCAAGGTTCGTGAAAGCAAAGATCGGGACCTGGACCAGGAGAGGTGCATCAAAGATGAGGATGGCACGGTATTGGTGGAAGAGGCGTGCATTAGGCGCAGGTGGCAGGCATACATCCACAAACTCTTGAATGATGATGGGGATAGGGACATCATGATTATCGAGTTGGAGAATTCAGAGAACCAGCGTGATTTTAGGTTTTTTAGACGTATTACGGTTGAGGAGGTTGAGGAGGTAATGCGGAAGATGAGTAAAGGTAGGGCGACTGGGCCAGACAAGATCCCAGTAGAATTATGGAAGGCTGTGGGATGGGTAGGCTTGGAGTGGCTTACTAGACTATTTAATGTCATTTTTAGGACTAAGAAGATGCCCGAAGAATGGAGATGGAGCTTTATGGTCTTGTTTTACATGGACAAGGGTGATATCCAAAATTGTAATAACTACAGGCGTATCAAGCTACCGAGTCATACTATGAAAGTGTGGGAGAGGGTGGTGGAGAGGAGGGTGAGGAAGAGTGTGTCTATTTTGGAGAATTAGTTCGATTTCGTGCCGGGATGTTCGACTAGTTTTAAACCATTCATCTTGTAAGGAGGTTGATGGAGCAATATCGGGAGAGGAAGAGGGACCTACATATGGTGTTCATCGATTTAGAAAAAGCTTACAATAAAGTCCCAAGGGAGGTTCTATGGAGATGTCTGGAGGATAGTGGTTTTCCGGTAGGGTACACTAGGGTGATTAAGGATATGTACGATGAAGCAAAGACTCGGGTAAGGATTGTGGGAGGGGACTCAGACTATTTTCCTATGATGATGGGGGTTACATCAGCTTTCAGCTCTTAGGCCATTTTCCTTTGCCCTGGAGATGGATGTGCTAACACGCCACATTCTGGGGGAGGTGCCATGGTGTATGTTTTTCGCAGATGACATAATGCTAATCGATGAGACGTGTTGTAGGGTTAACGATCAGCTGGAGCTATGGTGGCAGACTCTGGAGTCTAGATGTTTCAAGTTGAGTAGGACAAAAACTGAATATTTGGAGTGCAAGTTCAGTGTGGGGATGCAGGAAACAGAAGCAGAGGTGACGCTTGATACACAAGTCATCCCTAAAAGATATTGTTTCAAATGTCTTGAGCCTGTTATTCAAGGGAACAGGGAGATTGACGAGGATGTCACGCATCATGTTAGAGCGGGATGGTTGAAATGGAGGCTCGCGTCTGGTGTTTTGTGTGATAGGAATATGCCACCTAGACTTAAGGGCAAATTCTACAAAGTGGTAGTTAGGTCGACTATGTTGTATGGAGCCGAGTGTTGGCCGGTCAAGAAATCACATGTCTAGAAGATTAAAGTAACAGACATGAGGATGTTGAGATAGATGTGTTGGCATACCAAGAAAGACCATATTAGGAATGAAGTTAGTGGGGACAAGGTGGGTGTGGCTCCTGTAGAAGACAAGTTGCGGGAATCGAGGCTGAGATGGTTCGGGCTTGTGAAGAAGAGAGGCACCTATGCCCTGATGAGTAGATGTGAGAGGTTTACCATGGTGGGTCAGAGGAGATGTAGAGGGAGGCCTAGGAAGTACTGGGGCAAGGTAATTAGGCAGGACAAGGCACTACTTTAGCTTACCAAGGACATGACCCTCGATAGGGAGGTGTGGAGGTCGAGGATTAGCATTGTGGGTTGACAGGTAGTCGAGAGTCTCTTCTAGTCGTACTATTAGTATTAGTACTAGTCTTGTATTATCCTATTCCGAGTTCTTGTTGCCAGAGGATGTGGCATTTTTGCTTGTAGTTTTCGCACTTCTCTTATAGCTTCGTATTCCTGGTTTTTTTGCTATTACATGATGTGCTATTTGTTTCTGTTATCTTATTTCCTTGCCATTGTCACTGTTTGTTTATTGTGTCCTTTTCACCATTCTTGAGCCGAGGGTCTATCGAAAATATCTTCTCTTCCTTCATAAGGTAGGGGTAAGGTCTGCGTACACATTACCCTTCCCAAACCCCACGTGTGAGATTGCATTGAGTTTGTTGTTGTTGTTGTTGTTGTTGTTGCTGTTGTTGACTGAATCTAAGATATATAAATGCATGCTTAGGATCCCTTCTCAATACCTCACAGCATAAATTCATGTGCCTGGCATAGGCCACGTGTTCAAACCAAGCACAAAATCTGAGTGCCAACACTTACAGCGCCTAAAATAACATTGGTAATCACCTGATTCTGGAGGGACGGATCCATATGCAAGCGTTGATCATTTTACAATTAATGATCATCATCCAATAATCAATATTCCCTCATAGTATTCGTAGTGCCAAAATCCTCAATTTTTCACAATAATCAATTCTTCACTCATACATATGTGTATGAAATAATATGATAAAGAAGCATCGGACATAAAAATAAAATGCGGATAAAAGCTCTTATGGCTAAATGTCTATGGCTAATCATGTAATTAAATTTATCACAACGGCTCAATAAGCTATTTCAACATGCATAAGTCTAATCATATTATTTATCACAAGTATATTGAGCTTTATAACCACCAAAGCATGGAGCAAATTGGACAAGTATATGACTATCAATTAATAGTAAAGCTCAACATGGCAAAATAATCCTTTATGCCCTTTACAAAAAGTCATAACTTTAAGCATGTTTCTAATTCATAATTACGTATCATAACGTAATCATAAAATCAATTGAAACATGGATAATAATTTTACGTAATCTAATTCAAGCTTATCACAAGTTAAACCCTGCCGGATACGGTCATAACCTAGCTACGTATATACATCGGCACCTTGCATATATGTGGCTCCTAAGTCAAGTAGAAAGTAGCATATATATATATATATATATATATATATATATATATATATATATATATATATATATATATATATATATCACATATGGAGAGAATTTCCTCTTACAAGGATAGACAAGAGATTTACTTCCACCCGGTAAGCTTCAACCTTCCAAAATTAGCTTTTCTCTCAAATTGACCTCCAAACAACTCGAATCTAGTCAAATATAACTCAATAACTTCAAATAAAGCTATATAAATCAATTCCAAATAATAAAATTTTAATCTTTAATCAAATACCTAAAAGTCAATAAAAGTCAACACAGTCCCAAATGATCAAAACCCAAGTCAAGGGATAATCCTGATTACCCATAACCCCACGAGCCCAAAAATATGATTAAATTCTAAAATCGAATCCAAATCGGTACTTAATCCCCCAAATTATACCCTATTAAATTGTAAACAAAACCCCAAATTTCTCTTTCAAATTCTATAATCTAAGTGTATAAATCCATGGGAAACAAGATATATAATCAAAATCAAGTAGAAATCATTTGCCTTCATAGTAGAAGTGAAAACCTTCCAAAATTGCCTCTTTAAAGCTCCAAAACTCAAAATAGTAAAATATGAGCTAACCCTCGAATAAATAAGTCTCCAGGCATGTTGTATCTGCGAGCTCATGCTTGCATCTACGAGATTTTTTCTCACAACCAGCCTTTACACCTGCGACACACCTGCAGTATCTTTGGACTCGCAGGTGCACAAACATCCTCGCTGGCATGGCAATGCATCTGTTTAACAACATCCGCACATGCGGCCTCTCTGTGCCCCTTTGTCCACAGGTGCGACATCGCACTTGCGAACCAAACCCTACAGATGTGATACACCAGCACCAGTAATGCCAAAAATACCAAAATAGTTCGGAACCATATACACAGGTGCCCCATCCAATCATATCAACAAGTCCTAATACCTTATCCAAACTTATCCAAGGGTTTGAAACACCATATAGAACATTAAAATCGACAATAGAAGATAAATCCATCTCTTAACTTTCAAATATTCCAGCTTCGCCAAAAGCATCCGAATCACACTTAGACGTTCCGGATCACAACCAAACTTTGCACATAAGTTTCACTCAACTAAGTGAACCTATCCAAGGTCTCAAACCCATAATTGGAGTCCGATAACACCAAAGACAACTTCCGGTCAAACTTAAGCACTCTCCAATTCTTCTACTTGCCAACTTTTGACAAATAGAGCCAACCTTCTAGCAACCTCTGAATCCAAATCCAAACACACGCCCAACTCCGAAATCACCATACAAACTTATGGAAACCATAAAATTTCGATTCTGAGTTCATTTACTCAAAATTTTAGTCTTGGTAAACTCTTACCACTTAAGCTTCCAATATTGAACTAAGTGTTCCAATTCACTCCTAAGTCTTCTCAGAACTAAACAAACCATCCCCTCAAGTTACAAAATAACATATAAACATATAAGAAGCATCAAATAGGGTAACGAGGCTGAAATATGCAAAATAACCGGCTAGGTTATTATATTTCCCCCTCTTAAATAAATGTTCGTCCTCGAAGGGTTTTATAATCATACCTGGAATGTCAAAAAGATGAGAATATCTTCTCTACATATCATGCTCGGTCTCCTAAGTCACTTGCTTGACCGGTTGACCTCTCCACTAAACCTTTACTGATCCAATCTCTTTTGATCTTAACTTCGGAAGTTGCCTATCCAAAATGGCCACCAGCTATTCTTTATAAGCCAAATTCATTCAACTGCATTGAACTGAAATCTTATACATGTGACATGCTTGCGAAGCATGAAAACATGAATTACTGGATGGACTCTCGATAAGCTGGATGGTAAAGCAAGTCTGTAAGCTACCTCACCAGCTCTCTCTAAAATCTCAAATGGACCAATATATCGAGCGCTCAAGTTGCCCTTCTTTACAAATCTCATAACGCGCTTCAGAGGCGAAACTTTAAGAAGAGCCTTCTCACTCTCCATGAAAGCTACATCACGAACCTTCCTATCGGCATAACTCTATTGCATAGACTATAGTGTAAGAAGCCTCTCCTAAATCAACTTCACCTTTTCCAAAGCATCACAAACTAAAGCCATCCTCAACAACCTAACCTCACCAGGCTCAAACCAATCGGGGAACAATAACGTCTCTCATATAAAGCCTCATACGGAGCCATCTAGATACTAGACTTGTGGCTGTTGTTATAAGAAAACTCTGCCAATAGTAGAAACTTATCCCACTAGCCTCCAAAATCAATAACACAAGCTCTTAACACATTCTCAAGGATTTAAATTGTCCACTCGAACTGCTCATTCGCTAGAGAGTGAAATGCAGTATTAAGCTCCACTTGCATACCCAACTCTTGCTGAACAACTCTAAAAAGTGCAATGTGAACTGAGTGCCCCTATCCGAGATGATAGAAACTGGAACACCACGTGAACTGATAATATTAATGTAGATTTGAGACAACTTCTCTGAAGTATAAGAAGTCATGACTAGAATGAAATGTGTATATTTGGTCAATCTGTCCACAATAACCTAAACAACGTCAAATTTCCTCAAGGTCAATGGTAATCCTACCACGAAGTCCATAGCAATGCGCTCCTAGTTCTGCTATAGTATTGATAAGTAGGAATTTTGACCGCATATTTGCTCTCTTTTACTTGCGTTTCAGCTCAAAAATGCTCAAAGGAATTCCCGAGAACTAATGAAATGTGCTTTTGTGCAGGAATATTTGGAAACGAGCCAAAGAAGTCAAAATCAACTCATAAAGGAGTCAAAAGTGGACAAGGACCAAAACAAGGCAAACAGGCCCATAGTGCGGACCGTACAATACTGTGTACAACTGCAAAACAAGGAAAAAACAATGTCAGTATTTCTTCAGAGTATGCGGAGCGCACAATTATAGTGCGGCCGCAGAAGAGGAGATTCAGAGAGTTAGTTTTTGGGCAAGCTGAACATATGCGGACCGCACCATAATTGTGCGGCCGTAGGATGACAATTGCGGCCGCACTCACAATTGTGCGGTCCGCAGAAGACAAAGATCAGAGAGATGAAACTTTAAGTTTAAGAAGAAATACGGACCGCACCATTTTTGTGTGGCCGCATAATCAAGAGCGCGGCCACAGTAATTTTTATGCGGTTCGTAGAAGTCTTGCTCAGCCAAAGTCCAAGTTCAAGGAGTGCGGACCGCACTAGAATTGTGCGGCCGCCTAACCTCCGCAGGGGCATTTTCGTCAGAAATTTTCAGCTTAGTATAAATAGAAATTTTTGTCATTTTTAGGTTAAGTTTTGTTTTGGTAGAGCGCTTAGCCATTTTTCTTTACTGCTTTGAGTAATATTGTACTAGATTAGCTTCCAAACATTAGATTTTTTTCTCTAATCAATTATTATACATTCTATCTTATTCTTCATTTTTCATGAGTAGCTAAATTTCTAGCTAGGGTTGTGGTTCAATCCTAGTGTGGGTATTTAATAGGTGTTTGATATAGGGCTTGTTTGTGATTGGGTTAGTGATGTCGCGCCCCCTGTTTTTGCCCTTTCCCTCGCGGGGGGAGAAGTTCGGGTTTCGACATTCATGGGGGATCGACTCGTTTCCTATTGGGAATTGGGTATTTGAAGAGTCGCCACCTAACGATTTTTGAGGTGCGTTAGGGCACCTAGAGCGGTTAACTCTTAGATTGGTTTGCATTACAAGAGGTTAGGGTAAGGGCTCAAAATAACCTCGAGGGGAAGGTGTTAGGCACCCCTCTTGGTCCACAACTGTGGGTCCCGTCCGAACTTACACTTACGAATTAGTCCATTAACAAAATAAACAATTTAAGCAAATAATCGCAAGCAGAGCATGTTGGGCATTGTATAACTCAAACAATAAAACAAGAACTTAAATAGGTTATGTGCATAAAAAGGGAATGTAGAGCTTCAGGTAAAGAGAATTTGGGAAGAGGGAGGTTCTAGGTTGGTTAGCCTATAGGATCACATCAGTATAATGCCCAGTAAT